GTAGAAAACCACAAAATACCAATATTGTTATGGTAAGTATACACCTGTTATAAAAGTAAAACAAAATGCATTTGAATAGATGTGAGCTTTATGATCAGTACAATGGCACCAATCCGTACTAGGTTCCCTGCCAAAACAGACATGTTTACCATCAACAAAAAAAGCTTTACAACTGGTCGACACACTAATGGTAAAGAACATAAATAGGGCTAAATATTCCAACGGCTTGAGCTACAACAACGAGGAAAAGTAGGAATGACGAATCTGCATAGAAGACTAGAATAAGGTTGCACTGAAAACATCGATGAGCGACAGAAAAGAAAGAACACTAACTGTGCGCCAAAAAAGTTTTGCAACAGTCAAAAAAGGACATAATTCTAAAAAAAAGCTAACGTCAAATATTTAAAAGCTCAATTTCGTCTGCAGTATTATCACCCGCACTTACTTTATCTTTCTTCAAAAGGATTGGTGTAGCTAGTCGAATGGCTAGAGCGCCACTAGGCGCTGTGATAAGAATACTCAGTACGGCCAAAGCTAGAATCAAAACACCATTCTCGATGTGAACGGAAGTCGAAGATGGTCTAGATCGTGCTGTTTCTAGGACGACTGGAGCCAATGCAGCCTAAACACAGTGTATTCACAGTTATGGAAATAATGAGGATCTTTATAAGTCACAGCAGTAAAGCTGACTACTGACTAGAACAGTTAGTGATCAAAGAGCAGTTGATGAAGACTAGCTAAAACATTACCTGTACTGTTGCCTTCGGCATCCAAGCAATAGCTACAAAAAGTCGTTCCTTCATCTTCAATTCAGAACCAAACACAGCGAGAAAAGATGCAAGAAATCGGAATGTCAGACCGAATGCCAACACCATGATTCCCAGAAACAATGTGCTACGACTGATCTGAACAACAACAATAATCAAGAATAATTCAATATCCACCCAACATACACACCATATCGAAACTAAGCTCCAAGCCAATGAGGCCGAACAGAAGCGGTTGAAAAACGTGATGCCACATGATAGCCAGATATTCCTCCTCGGGAAGTTCACCCTATGAAACAAGTTGTAGGGTTTCATCTAAATTGGTAAAGAAAACTAGATCAGGACCACAACTGAGTTTGATCTTTAAATGAGTCTAGTCAAACCTCCATTTTCCAAGCATGCCCAGCAACGAATGCAGCGATAAGAACACCTACAGCACCAGCTCCATCAACTCGTAGTCTTATTGTCCCAAATAAAAACGCTAGGGAGAACGAGAACAAAAGCGAAAGACGAATGAAGTGGAGATTTTGCACAGTTTTTCGAGGCACCACATGAAGAATAAAGCCTGCATCAGAAAAATAAGAACACAATTGACGCAGAAAATACAACGCTAACCTAAGACAGCCCCAAAGAAAACTCCAGCAAAAACTTCTACAGGAGCGCTTAAAACCGTCAACATAGGCGAGCCACCTGAAATGAGACAGCTACGATGAGCTAGTGCTGATCGATCATGCTTTCGCCGCAGCCAAAAAAAAATTACAATGCAAACAGGTTTGACCGCAGCGCCTTTTTTAAAAGTTCGTTCTATTATTTTAGTAACATGATTCTGATGAAACAGACCTGAAGGAAAAACAAGCGAAAGAATAAGACTAAAAACTGTGATGGCATAGACATCGTCAAGACTAGCAGCAGCAATCACAACAGATGGTACTCCTGCCTGAACCCCGTAACCTTAACAAGGAAAACCCACGAATAAGTACGAAAGAAAAATGAAAAGAAGTGCGGATACCGTTTTTGCTGGCCTCCAATAGGGCTGGAATCACAACGGCTGGAGAAACAGCTCCCAAAACAGCACTAAAACTAAAGCTGGTTGAGCTACGAAAGCATTCATTACACAAAAACATTATTGATCATTGTTAGCTTCCATATCAATACAGTTACTGTTGATAGGACTCTAAAAGATGTCAGCAGAATGTAGTTCTCACAAAAACTTGTATTTTTTTCCGACCGCTATGAAGCGTTTGTAGCATAGAAAATGAAAAGGTAAATTTTACACAAGATCAATGCATAAGATACGATTCTCGAAACTCTCACAGATAAGCGTTTTCCATTCTTCCCTTCTTAGAAGAAGCGAAATTATCACTATTAAAATTGATAGATCGATTGATATATCGGAAACTGTAGAAGAAAAAGAGGCACTTTGATAAACAAGGAGGTCGACACACCCAAGGGCTATTCCAAAAATTATGTCCATGCCGAAAATCAATTTCGATATGAGAGAAACTGCCAGCATCTCGGCTGTACATGGAATCACAGATAAGCGAAGACAAGCACCCTAAAAAAGGAAAAAAATTCCCCAAGCAGCATATACATAGGGCACTAATATGACGACTTTGAAAATTACCTTAAGCCTGCGAACGGCATTAGCATCAAGTGACAACCCACCACGAAGCAAGATCACTATAAAAGCTATACGACGTAAAACAACACTCCAATCGCTAATCACAGCCACGCTAACAAAAGCTCCGCCAAAATTTCTGAGGACGATACCCGTCAGTAGCATTCCTGTAAAAAATATGACTAAAATCTGGAAAAAAGAAGTATAAAGGCGTACCTAAAAGGCTAGGAAGATAAAACAGCTGTAATACATAGCCCACCACAACACCGATAGCAATGAGAAGTCCTATT